AAAAATTTATTAGTTCTTGTCTTTATACATCACGTATATTTATTTGAAAACAAAAAAAACCAAAATAACACATTTAGACATACAACAAATGACAATATATTTATATATAGACAATTTTTACAAAATTGCATATTGATCATATAAGATTCGTCGAACTTTGTAATATGTATCGGATAGAGCACCTTCAAGAATAATTTTACCTGCTTCATTCTAAAATAAATCCCCCAGAAAAAAAGAATTATATATGAAATACAAAAAAAAAAAAAATCGTTTATTACTCGTTTGATTGCTACTGTATCTTCACAAGTAAGAACTCCACCGACAAATTCAGCTTTAAGTCCATGTTGTCGAATAAGAATCATTTTAAGATCAAGTAATTTTGGTTCATTAACAAATACACATGGATGCGGTGGCATCTATGTTTTTATAAATAATTTAACTTATAAATGTTTTTTTTGTCTTATTTAAATTTTACCTGATCTTTAAGTTCACGTGTTACAGGATTTAAATACCATTCTGTATTAGCTTGACCAACAGCTATAAGAAAAAAACAAAATTTTTTTCTTAGATTTTTTTTTTTTTGTTGAATGATTTGATGTAAGATTTACTGGTAAATGTAGTTTGTGGGTGTGGTGTTGTAGGTGGTGGTGCACCATGAGTGATTATACCATCAACCCAAGCAACATCAACATCACGTGTTTTTGCAAATGTTATTGAACTAAGTAAACTATCTTTGAGTTTGATCTAAATAAAAGTCAAGCAAAACATGTATTACAAACAAAGTATTATTATTCGATAGTATTGATTGAAAAAAAATTATATTGAGTATGTTTTTTTTTTTATAGAAGTACATTCGAAAATTTAAGTAGAGTTTATTCAAATTGCAAATTGCAGTTTTAAATTTTTTTTTGGAAAAATTAGTTGGAGAAAGATAAAATATGTATTATTAAACAGGTAACATTGATTGCTCGAGTTTTTATCTTAAAATTTCATTTTTTGTAATAATTTAATAATTGTAATTGCAAAACAATGTCTCATTTTCTTCAATTAAACTAAATGAAAAACTTTTGAAATTCTTTGATTTCATTTGTACTTAGTTATAACCTATATTAATAAGTACGCATTACACATAGAACAACTTTTATATTCAATTAATTTAATCAGAAAATAAAACAATCTTCAAATTCATTCAACTTTCTATAAATATCTATCTTAGACTAAAAACATTTTGCTTGTACTCTCATATGATATCGTCCAGACAAAAGAAAATGTTCGTTATACTGTCAGTAATTTGATATATAAATCATTAACTGCATTACTGCGAACAAACGTACTAAATAGATTACTTTCTAGAATTTACGTTGTAATTATTTTTGGCAAAAAATATATCAATATCCATAATGAGTATTTAATAATACTATTTTCTTTTCCGTTCTGGACTGTATCATGTCAAAGTAATCTGGAATTTACTTATTGCTTGAAGGTTTCCTATAGATTTCGCTGATAGAAAATACATCTACAAATGATTGCAACAAATTCAGAATTGATATTAATTGCAGAATCAATTACTTTCATTGTATTGAATATAAAACATACCTGATAAAGATTTCTTTCGGTTGTTGCATCAACTATTTCTCCGATATGTGGTGAAAATATTCTACCTTGAACAATTTGTCTTGTTGTACAATATTTTTCTAATTGTTCAATACAATCTTGTGTACCATGAATAAATATTAAATTTTTTGGTTTAATTTGATTAAGTAATTTTTCAATTGATTCTCTATCACTGCGTGCTTCAAAATCTACATATAAAACTTTAGCATTTATTTTTAATTCACGTTTATCACGTAATGTTTTAAATGGTATAGATGATGGTTGATGTTGAACTTGTTGAATTGATGGATGTTGAGATTGATTATTTGTTAAAATAGTTGAAGATGGTTGCATCATTATTATCATATTTGATGGATTATTATTATTTGTTATATCAGCTAATTCACTAAATGGATGTCGTTCATCTGAATCACCAAAATTTATTGATGATAAATCATTTGTTATAGATGGTTTTGTTTCAATAATCATATAATCATCTGGATTAATTATTTCACCATAATCATCACATAGATATTTTTCTTCTCTATATGGAAACATAGCAAATGCTTTACGTTTTGGTGCAAATGGTGATTGAGTTGGAAGACGAGTACCTATTGGTGTATGTAAAGAATTTCCTTTTAAATCATCAGCAAGACCAGTATCAATGATAGTATCTGCGATGGATATTTTTGATTTATCATTATCTTGATTTTCATCATCATCATCATCGTCTTCTTCTTCTTCTTCTTCTTCATAATCATTCATACCAACTTCAAGATCTATTTCATCATCAACGGAACGTTTTAATAATTTACGAGATTTTTTCTTTTCAGCTTGAATTTTAGCAGCATTTTGTTCATTTAAAATACGTTGTCGTTCCATATATTCTTCTAATTCTGCACCTTCAAGTGGAACTTTTCGACGTACCTTTATTTTGTAAAAAAAAAACCAAGAAAAATCAGTCAAGAGATATTCATAGTTTAGAATATTAACTCGATGAAAGGAAAAACAACAGATTTTCATGAAATTGACGAAATCTCTTTTTTACTATCTATCAGTATGTTAATACAAAAAAACGAGTACGAAGAGAAGAAGACATCTTTTCGTAAATAGGAAATGTTGAAAAACATCAAAAATCAAACACAAAAGTCTAAAAAAGCTCTTGACAAAATCTCTGTGGAATTAAAATATGAAATATTACATAGACAGCTATTTTTCGCACCTATATTATGCACTACCATCGTACTCATAAGAACTGACAATATACCAATAGTAGATTGTCGGTTCTAAAAAAAAAAACCCAGAAAATCTATTCTTCGCTGCTGGATTTTCTCTATCGTATATAATACAAAATTCAATTATCTTTACTTCAACTTCAATTGTTGTAAGATTTGGTTTATCAATTAATTCTCTTGCTAATGTACCCGGACATGTTCTTGTTGTTAATATAATACTATTTTTATCATTTTCAACCCATTGAATAAATAGATCTCGTGCAAAACCACATTCTAAATCCGGTTGACTAGCTAATACAACCTAAATATATATATATATATGTATAAAATTTATATGTGAAAAACAAAAAATTATTCTTATACCTTTGGTGCACGAACTTTTTCTAATTCATTAAGATCATGACATAATCTAACATACCGTAAATGAAATGGATTAGCACGATTTTCTTCAAATTGACGAACTATTTTATCTGACATCCATTCAACTTGTGAACGAGCAAATTCTATGACTTGAAAACTAAAATTATTTAATAATGCTAATGAATAAGCAAATAAACCAGATTGTTCATTTCGCCATAATTGTTCCTAAGAAGAAAAGCAAAAAAAATGAATATAAAATTTTTTATTCAATTGAAATTGATCTTGATTATTATTTTATCTCTAATAAAATTCTTACTAAAAGAAGAGCTAATTCAAGAACACGACCAGCAGTATCAACACAAATTAATACATTTCCATCACGTCGCATTGTTTCCAAAATAGTTGCTATAAATAGAAGAAAAAAAACATCTTTCGAATCTACAAAAAATTCTTCAATTATTTATTCATACTTAATAATTGAGCATCTTTTGTTTTTCGTTGTCCTTGAGAATATTTTGTATTTAATGCATCTGTTATTAATAATGTTGGTCGACTAATTTTTGTTAAATTCGAACTATTTAAATGTCTAAAGAGAGAGAAAAAAAACAAAACACAACAAGTATTTCAAAAAAAATAAATTACTAAAAATATCTTTTTTTTTTCTTTCTACCGTTCTTTTTTATGATTATAATCAACTGCATAAACAATTTCTTCTTCACCTTCTTTAGAAATTTTCCATATAGCTCCACCAATCATATGTCCAGCTGGTAATGGAGTTATTGTTAAACCTTGTCCATTTCCTTCAATAGAAAAATAAACTAATAGTAAAGACAAAAAAACAAAAGAAGATTATTTAAATAAACCTTCAAGTGGTATCGATTGATCATATTTAAGTTGAACAAAAAGATCAAATGCTGCATCAACATGATCAAGTGTAAATAATGTAAAATCTTCACTATTCGAACGACTTTGATGTAAATCATACATAAACATTTGTCCCATTTTATACACTGGTATTGTTGCATAAACTGGACATTTTAATCCACAATGTCCAACAAGATAAGGTAATGCACCAATATGATATATATCTGGATAAGTGATTAATACAGCATCAATGGATTTAATATGACTAAAAATAAAATATTGAAGAGTTTTGGTATGCATATAAATATGTGAGAAGCTTTACAATTGAAAATTATTATGAAGTTTTTTTTTTTCTTTTATAAATTGACTGATTTTATATATTTGAAATTAAAAATTGCAAATGTTTAAAGTCGTATTATTTAATTTTTACAACTATCACATCAAACGTCTCAATAGAAAAGATGATCATCTTTTACATATTGATCTTTTAGATAGATGAAATAATTCAGTATTTTGTATATGTTATTATAAATTAGAATCGAGATAAAGATGATAATACAAGAAAAAAAGAAAACCTACCGTTTATATTCTTCGATGATTTCTGGAGAGAAATTTTCATCCCAACCACAATCAAGTAAAAATCGAAAATCATCTGTTTGTAAAAGATAAGCCAAAGCTCCTTCATTATATGCACCGCCAATGACTTGCAATTTTAGAATAGAAGCCATTTACAACAAATCAAAAACAAAAAATAAACTAATATCTGGAAATAGGTAGAATGACTTTCCTTAGAAGATTGCTCTTGTTATTATTATAATCAGAAAAAAAGAAATTCTATATCAAGTTTCTTTCATGTTGTTTTTTTTTTGTCTTCTTATTTTATTGATGTATTTTGTTTTTCAATCAATCGAAATACAAAAACAAAAAGCATCGATTTCTTTTTTTTATTTATGATGATTGTTTAGCTTTTTTCATGTGTTCCAATAATTGATCGTGAGCTTGTGTTTCATCACCAAAATCACGAACAACACAGCAACTACATCGAACTACTTTGCGAGCTTTGCCATCTTTATCTAATTTGCATAAGCCAGCCCATTCACCTAATTTTTTATTATCATCAACACGTAATAAATTGATGTTATGTTCAGCACATAAGGCTTCAATTAATTTAACATAGTTCTGTTCGTCACAATTTGATGCTAAAACACAAAGATGTGCTTCACGTCGATCTAATGCTTTGACCGACTCTATAAGATGAAAGAGAAAAGATTTATTTCAAGACAAGAAAAAAAAAACAATCAAGTTTCTTACCTCGTAAACCTCGTGCAAGGCCATCATTACGAGCGGCTGATTTAAGGACTTCCTGTAACGACTTATTTAAGTCGACTTCATCCGAGCCGCGTGGGGTCTCGTCCATCTCGGTGTCCGACATAATGATAGTAACCACGTGTACTGATCTATAAATATATAAAAAAATGAAAATAATATTGAATAGTGTCGTCTCGAACAATATTCAATTTATAATAAAACGAAAATTTTCTGTGTAATATCTATCTTTCATGGACTTTCAATATGCTGAAAATAATAAATAAACAGGCATAGAATAAATGGATAAAATCCATTCAATATTCTTGCCTCTTTATTTCGTGTTATAAGCATGTATATTCGTTGAATTCTAGCTGTTTGCTATGATTTATCTGTAATAAATTTATAAAATATAGAATAATATAATACAAAAGTTTTAGAAATTTAAATAAATGAAAATTTATAGAGGTCGCTACATTACTTTCGTATGTGTAACCAGTTAATAATCAAGTTCAATAATGAAATTCAAGAAACTAAAAAATAAATGTACATTTTGTCAAGTTACCTCTTGATCTCTCGTTATTAAATGATATTAAAAAATATCCTTACAAAAAATAAAGAGAAAACTAAATGTCACTGTACTATATCTTTTCAATGTAATAATAAATTTATTCAAGATGAGAACATCAAGAAAATATTCTACTTAAGAGGATGTCTATCAGTTCATGTACCCATATCTTCTATTCAGAAGTAGTAAATCTTAACCAAAACTTATGAGAGGATAAAAGTTCTATCTTATAAATTCGTTCAATAATTATTTTCTATGAAACATTCAAGAAGAAAAAGTTAATGATTCATTGGAGGTGTTCAGTTTTGAAAAACTCAAACAATAGGGAAATTTTGGAAAAACCCGCTGGCCAAAAAAAAATACAGTAGGGAAATTTTTGGATTTTTGGAAGATTCTGCACCTCTGATAACAATAGATATTTATTTACAAATACATATAAATTTATTATACATGTCTTTTAGATCACCTTGATTATTTTAATAGAAACATAGATCAAACTTTTCAAATCTTAATCATCATTTGCGATAATTTCTTAATTCAGTATTTCTTCTATTTAAAATTAGACTTGATACACCGTCTGCTGAATATATGAATATTTATAAATAATTTCTAATCATTAACAGATATAAACTATTATTAATTACTTCATAGATGACATTAGACATCAATGATTTTATCTCTTTGGTTCCTATTCATTTATCGTTTACTCATATCGAATTACTTGTCATTGAGTGACCTAATACAAATGTATTAATTTCAATTCTTGACACACCTTCTCAACTTTACCATCTCAATTTTATAGAAACGAAAAAAAAAAACAATTATTCAAATACTAAAATCATCTCACCAATTACATCTAAAGTTTAATGAATTTGAAATATTGATTATTAAATTCATCAGTTGATGATGTAATGATGAAAAACTATTGAATAATAATACGATTGAAGATATAGTTGATAATATACATTTGAAATTGACATGACTGTATTGAGTATTGTAAGTTTTCTAACTACGAACAAATCAATGTTTTTCGTGACTTGAAAAATGTATATGCATACTTATTGAATTGTGTACAAGATTTTATTCTGAATTCATTCAGTAAATTAACTAGAATTGATTACATTCATATCAGTATTCATAGAGATAGATAAACATGTAGATATGAAAAGTAGTTTGAAGAATTCATTGTTTTGTCTACTTAATAGTATAGCATGGAGATGAATTGAACAAATATTTTAATTGAATGTTTGTTATGATAAGAATATTTTTTTAAATAAAAAAAAGATAATTCTATTTCAGTCAATTACTAATATTCATGAATGTGAAGAGAAGGAGATTGTTCAATTGATATGTAGAAGATGATATGTTCTGTACTTCGGCAACCTTTTCAAGCTTCCTGATGCTATCGTTCATAAGAAAAAGACTTGAAATTAATACCTATAGATATTTTTGTACACATTTCAGAAAAATATCTTTTCTCAAGCGAGACTTATTACACCAAACATCGAACTAATAAGGTAATCAAATAACCCTATCAGACAACTCTTTCTTTTACAGTTTTTTTTCCTCCTTTTATAATCATAAAAGTTGAATGATTGAATAAATATGCATATGTAAATTTCGTTCTAACAAGAAAAATATATTTCTTTGTAAACATGTTTCTTAGTTTCACTAGTTACAATAATTCATTTCAAAGAATTTGTTTTTTATTTTTTCAAAATAAAAAAAAAAACTAATTTTTATAGATCAATTGATACACCCTTCAATTAAAGTGCATGATACTTGAAACTGAACGTTGAAAAATACTTAAAATGTCTTGGTTTAAGATCGTTGCTAGACAAACTAAAGCGAATTTATAAAATGTAATCAAAGTATATTTTATTGTGTCTTATAAGATGCGCGATTATTATATTTTATTTTAATATTAATAATAGTTAGAAAAAAAAAATATTATAGTCAAATAAACAATTTAAAGTCAGTCATTGTGACATTGAGAGCCATATAGCCATATTAGAAACAAACATGAATAATAAAATAAAAAAGAAGACGAAATAATTTAAAGCACTGCATCGAGCTTCTATGTCTTTTCTAGTTTTACCTTTCGCTTTATCTTTATCAAACTCAGCTTGACATGATTCACATCTATTACAGAAGTCGCATTTTGATTTTACTATCTCTTTTATTTCGCTAGTACTTTCAGATGCTGCTGGTTCAATTGGGTTAACTTCAGTTGGATTTGTTTTGTTAGATTCTAGACCTTCAACGGCAGCATCCTGTTCCTTGTCAATGTTTTCAACTTTAATACGTCTTTTAAGACACGGAGCAAATAATTCATGGCAAGAAACACATTTTATTTTTTCAGTATTTGTTACTTTTGAACTTTCTTTATCATCAAACTTCTTAATGTCACCATTCTCAACAACAACAACATCCTTGTTTTTATCTGTCTTGACATCTTCCTTTGGCGGTGGAAAACAATAACAAAGTGTTCTTTGCACCTGTCCACAAAAAGCATAAATTGGCTTTGGCATTTCAGCTTTTGTTGCAAAGTGATTACATATGATAAACCATACCATTGATATTAATGTCCAACAAATCGATAACAAAAAGTATAATGTAATCATCATCAAATATTCCGATTGTTGTGGAAATAGACTAGAAAAATTTAGTGAATAAACAGAATATGTCATAAAACATGTCATACCTAAAATGTACATAGAATATTTATTTTTTCAAGTTCTATTTAGTATTGAAGAAAAGAAAATATTCTTACATAAACCAATTTGTGTTCCAAAGGGTAATGTATATGATAACAAAGTAACACAATTTAAAATTAAACATGCAAATATACCATTCATGATAAAAAATAATGGTTTTCTTTGTAGATATAACTGTATTGATATTACAGCATTAAAATCATCCCCAAATGGTACTCTATCTTCTGCTTCAAATACAATCATATCTGTTCCATTCAATTTCCATAGAGGATGTTCATTATACTCACTAATATCAATAACTAAACTATTATTTTCTGTATATGCGATTCTATTAGATCCTTGACTCCATGATGTTAAGTTGATGCTGCACATTTGTTTATCAAATGGAAACTTTTGAACAGATATGCTACATTTTGTTTTTATTGTTAATGCTGGTAATATCATATACACTGCACCTGTATATTTGACAGATGCTAAACTATAATCACTCACTGTAAAATAACCACTTGAATCTGCTGAATTTAATACCATTGTATCTGGTATCCATAAACTTTTAACCGGTAGCATAACTACAGTAATATTATTATTTGAACTTGGTGTCCATGATAATCGATCATCAGTCCATGATTGTGAAATAAATGAACTTGATGTCATTATTTGTTGTTTTTCATCTATAGCCACAATTTGTTGTAGTTTAGCAGTGATATCAACAGATACTTGATCATCTGGTCTGACATTTTTATTATATGGATTTAATAATGTTGTTATTAGTGTTGCTTCGGCTAATTGTGAAGCTGGTAGTGTTCCGCATTTACAAAAGTAGAATAAATTGCATAGAAAAATAATCAAATATAGCAATTTTATCATTTTGAGATTTTTTATTTCCCTACGACAGATCAATACTACCTTTCAAACGCGTTGGTTGATCCTTGTTTTTATTCACATATAGAAAAGAAAAAATCCATTTGTAATGCTATAAAAAATGTCTACACTTGAAAAACTTCCATTTTGACTAAAACATAGTATTTATTTTACAAATGCGTTGTTTGTTCTATTAAATAAGGATAAATGTAATAATTCTATTATCCACATTCTACACCGTTATCATTTACTAGATTGTTTTGCATATATTAACTGATAAAAAAGAAAGGCATTGACTTATTAAGTTCAGATGACCTAAATATCGTTTGTTCATGAAATTATGATAGCAAAATAAGAATGAGGACGCATCGTTTCAAATTTACAAATAGAACTTTTGAGTTTGAGACAGAGCCCAAAACGAATGAACTGCTGAAGTGTGGTTCTAGCTAGCGACTCATATGGAGGAAGTGATAAGACATGGTTGAGTATGTATGATAACTTTTCTCAACTCAGAAATGGTATAGATCCTAATCGAACCAAGGTGGTGCGGTTTGTGTTATGTACAATGTCGAGCTTTCTTCGTGGAAAAGTCTACTCAATATGATTTATTCACAAAACCGTGTATCTCAAAGGTCTTACTTCACCGTCTAAAGGCTTTATTGTGCCAAGCTGGCACATGTCGAATACAAAAAATGATCGTCTAATGAAAAAAAATATTCAAAAATGACTGTCAAAAAAATGAAGATTAGAAGGAGAAACCTTACTGACTACTCTTTTGCTTGCATAGAGAGTAGATGTTTTTTGTTCTCATATTTAGTATTGACATGCAGTAAATTACATTTTTGCGAAGCAAAAAAAAAATTCGATCGACACCGAAATTGATTTTCTTTTTGCTAGACCGATTCGAATGTTTGAAGCCATGAATAGTTCGATCTTCAAGAAAGAGTTTCTTAGTGAGAATTACTGCTGACAGAATGCATAAATTAATCTTACCCAGTAATCATGAATTTTTATGTAAACATGCTATGAAAAAAACATCTTTTTTGCGCCATTCACCAATTTTTATTGTGCTTCCTATAAAGAAATATCAAAAGTCGAATATTGATTTTTTTATCTCATGAACAAATGTCTGTTTTATCCGATGATATACTTTATGGGCACGATCAATAATAGGACTTAATATGTTTTCATCGTTTATCTCATCTATCAATAGAAAATTTCGTTACTTTCGATCTTGTTATCTTTTTCATGTAAAAACTTTTGTATTATTATACAGATTTTAACCAGAAACCAAAAATAACCCAGCTGAACCAACCTATAACAGTTCTGTTCGATTCAAATCAAAATCGAATAAAATTTCGAAAAGTGGGCGTAGACGTGAATCTTCTCTTCTTCCATAAAATTTTCAAAAGTCAAAATAAATTGTGTGGATCTCTTATAAATAATTTTGAGAGACTTTTATAATTAATCTTTCTATGATCATATTCCAGAATTCATTAGGTATAAATTTAAATACATCTTCTATTGAATCGTTAATTAAGACAGCGAGAATGAAGTGAAAATTAACTATTTTCTTTGATGAAAATTGAATCGAGTATTTATCGTCAATGATCATTCTTTAGTTTAACTTAAATATATTTTTATCTATTTTAATTTTCATCATGCACTTTAGAAACATGATGTTTTTCATTAAATATTAATAGTAAATAACATGAACAGCAAAATACTTGTAAAATAAAAATGTCATGTATTAAAAGAAATTATAAAAACAACACTATTACCCATTCTCGATAAATAAAAATTAGCTCGCTCAAATAATACTACTAATGATACGAATAAATATGTACTTTTTATATTTTATATAATTGATAATATTGAAAATTTTCTCAGTGCTTTAGTATTGTTGAAAAACTTTTGAAGACAAAATGTTCCTGTATTTTATTTTAAAATTCATTTTTTCTTTAATTCGTGCTTTTTAAATTTCACTGTTCTTGCAGTTAATTTTAGTTTTGGTTTTAACATTAATATTCAGAATTTAAATATGACTCTATGTAAACGATACTTCTATAGATCTTTCCTTTTTGCAACACTTTACACCTACTATTCTAACTCTTGCATCTATTGATCGTTTTTTTCTTTCTTCTCAAAATGTTGCTACACATTTATATAATTCCAAACATTTAGTACATTATTTTGAATTGTGTTCTATTTTCATGCTCTTATTAAAGTTAATATTCAAGAAATGTATTCTTCATATTGTGTTTATTATTTTCAGTATGCTGTTTAATATATATCATTTCTTTGAAGAAATAACAAGATACAAAATACGAAAGACATTGCACCAAGCGATAGATAAGTTTGTGAAATGATGTGTCAGTTTTTATTTATTGCACTTTTTATTCTTTCCAGTATTTTCATTTATTTTGCTATATCAAAAGCGTTTCGTTATGAAGTGAAACTTATGATCTACAAATTATTGGTAAAGATATTATGTGAACACACAAAAGCAACGATAGACAAGCAAAAACTTGAAAGAGACAATGTAGAATTACATTTTGTAAGTAATATTGTATTGTCAGCTTGATTATCGAATAGAAGAAAATATTTTTTTTTCCAATGTTAATCAGATGATTTTTGATGCAAATACATTGATAGAATTTTCTTTCATACTTGAAATCCATTAAGTACAATTGTCATAGTAACATATGATTAAGTTCGACATTTGAATTCAAACTATTAAAATCAAATATTTATTGATTGAATTGAAAATAAAATACTTTGGTAAGACATGTTTCAATCGAACCATGAAATCCAAAGTTGCATGCCTAGGTGCGCTCTACTCATTCATCCCCATCCTATACCCTCATCTCGATGAGTGTGAAATTCAAAAAACGAAAATCGAGAAAAAAATAATCTAGAAACAAAAATCAAAAGAGAATAATGTAGAAAAGCAATTTGAATAGTTGAAAGATATGTGATTCATTAATGATAAATTTGTTGAAGAATAATAGAGATTAAGAAATGAAGAGTATTCAAATATAATATTAGCTATGATATTGTGTTTCATCCTTTTAGTTCGAGAATGAAATTGATACAATACAAAAGTACAAAGAAATAGAATCATAAGAAAAGTGGAATGTCGAGTGTGGGTGCGAATTATGTTTCTATGACACCCATACCCACATTTACACCTAGACCATGTACACCGACATCCTTCACACGGATTGTTCTTTGTGATGAGCAATCATTGTGCTCAATTTTCATGTGCTGATGTTTTCGTGCTGAATATTCCTGCGCTGAACTTTCATCTACCCACTGGGGTTATTCACTTTTACGTAAATTGATAGCAATTTATGGTCAGTGCTATCCAATCTAGACAGCAAAAACGGATGGCATTATTTACTAAGTGTAGATATAACGCAAAAAAGAAAATATCAGTGATTATATCATCATTCCAGTTACTCCTCACTCTACAGTCATCAAATATTAGTACTCCGCGTTTCTCCTTCTATATGAAGATCTAATATTCGAACGAACTAATATATGGTTTTGACGCATTTTACTTAGCATGTGTGCAGACGCTTCAAAAACGGAAAAAATAGTCCAAGAGTCCTATTTTATATTTGTTTCTGAAAAATCGTAGTCAAGGAACTGCTGTTGACTTGTGTCGGATTCTTGACCAGCACTTTCAAATCATCTTGAAACATCCGAAAACGATCTGATGTCAGGAAATTTTCAATCTGTTCTTTGACATCTCTCTCGCTCGCCATTTGGTGACCGACATAGACATATTGTGAGAGAAAGAGAGTGACAGCTCCTCCAACTGCTAGCGTACCAATGACTGCAATGGTCGAATTAATCATGCCGCCTACCGCCGTACCAATCCCAGCTAAGAATTTGACTACGCTAGTCGCCGAATAACCTATTTCCATGGGGACAACGACAAACACCAAACTTTTCAGAAATACCATTGCAAATGTTTTTGGATCGATGCCGACCACCTGCCACAACTTATAAAGACAAATAATCATTGTTATTTGAACAGAGAAAATTGCAACAGCATCCATGATAGGTTGCGAAATCCATGAGGCTACTAAAAATTCAATAAAACATCGAATTAGTCATCAAAATGAACAACAATTCAACAGCTCGTTTTGGACCAAACCACGATTCATATTTTAAAAGAAAGTATCAAATTACAGATCTCGAAAATGTGACAAACAGTAAAGGCCGAAAAATTTAATGTGCTAACAGAATTCAGTGCATTGAGGGTGTAGATGTGGATGTAGGGTGTGTTTGTGAGTGTATAAGAAAGAAATGTCCATACCTACACCCTTAAAAAGTAGTTCCAATTGGGACCATAAGATAACATTTTGTCGCTGTCCTCCATTGGTTTTGTGCATGTGTGGGTGTGGGGTATGGGTGTGTGTGGGTGTGAGTGCGAATGCCGGTTTGGATGAGAGTGAGAGTGTAGGGTGTGGGTGTAGGTGTGAGCGTATGCATGAGGAAAGAGAAGAATGAAACCGGTACACCCACTCATACCCACGCCCAACACCCACACCCTTACATCTGTGTCCATCAACGCTCACATGCATATACACCTAAACCTTCACCCGCAACCCATCCAATAACAAGGCTACACTCTAGCCTATCTTCATTTTAATATCCTCACTTCCAGATGTTTCACATCCGCACTCACACGTCCACGGCCATTCGCGAGCGTAATACCCTTCGTACAAAACAGACAATTATATTTAAAACGCGTTTTAGATAGACACACAAGCACATACAATTAGGCAATATAATTTAATCATCGTTTCTAGACCCTAGCTTTTCAGACTAGGGAAGATGCTATCCCATAACTAGTTTATTGTTCGTCTCATTAATGACTTTTAAGGGCTAACACGCCATCGGAGAGGATAGAAACTTCTATGTTCAAAAGGAATTTCAGCAGCCCTAGGTCGAATCAATGTAGTTGTTGGTCTTTCATTGACGTGACGTCCAGT